TACTTTCTGCTTACAGTACTGCTAATCAACAGCAATTGCAGCAGCTGCACTCACTGTATGGGAATGCGAGTGGCTCCTCACTGGAGCAAAACAATCAAACGGTGCCTCCGCAAAGAGGAAACCAAGCACTTCAACAGCAAATGATGCAGCAATATCTTCATGATTTGAGCAAGAAGAATAACGGAGGAGCAGTTCCTCAGCAGAACATTCCTTTTCAGAGTACAGGTGGCAATATATCTGGTGGGGCCCATGACCAACCACCGAGCATAGACAATAGTTTTAGAGGTGCTTCTGTGTCAAACAGTGAATCTCCCGCTCATGGCGGTCATAATAATAATAATAATAATAATAATAATAATAATAATAATAATAATAATAATAATAATAATAATAATAATAATAATAATAATAATAATAATAATAATAATAATAATAATAATAATAATAATAATAATAATAATGTTGGAGTTGGGCAAAAGGCATCGGATTTGCCGCAGAGTTCAAATTACTCGGATCAAATTGCTTCGGATATTTCCCACGAGTTCCTAGAAAACGGCTTCTTTAGTGATGACATCGACTTCAACTGGTAAGGTGTGATGACTAATGTAGTGTGTTCGTTTATGGTATGGTGAGCGAATCGAACTGAGGTTTCGGTGGAGTCTTTTTTTTTTTTTTTTTTTTTTTTTTTTTTTTTTTTTTGAAGCGCGAGTTGAAGGATATACGTATGTACAGGCTGCTGTTTCAGTTACTTTATGATTTTTATTTTGCTTCTCTTTTATCTCCCATTATGGAGTCTGAGTTGCAAGTTTTACGGGAACATTGGTTCATGCTTGTGGGTTTTGTCCACCACCCTATAGCTTCTTGCAAGTGTAACCTACTGACAATAAGTCGATATTTGGTATTAGAGTCGTTAATTTGTGATTTCGTATTCTAATTGCGTCAGCCATTTTGGTATTTACTTTTGAGAACGCGCATATAATTCTATTTATATTATTATGCGATGTACTTCATCTAGTGTAACATAGAATCATTCAGCTTCGTAACATCTGGAAATATAAGTCGTACATAGTCGATGCATCTTCATAGTATACGACATGACAAAGACCAAATTTTCTAATACAAAATTCGCCACGAGACTTCATGAAGAAAACGAACCCCACTATTACAAAGTCAAGAAACCATCTCTATACATATACATTAGCAGATAATAAAGAAAAATTTTGCCTTTACAGAAGTTGTTTCAACCTGAAAACTGGGTTGATTTCGTCATTTTAATTATCATAATAATGCCACGGAAAATCAGATGGGCATCTATCGAAGAGATGGATGTTGTTTTTTTAGCAGATATAAACTACTCGTCTTGCACCTCCTTCTGACAAATCGGGCATTGCTGTAAATAATTATATATAAAAAAAAAAAAAAAAAAAGCGGATTGATATCAACGAATGTTTTCTTTTTCTTACAAGTTTAATTTATCTTCCTCGTAGGAATTAGGACAAATAATCTTGGAATTCGGGACAATATAAATAAGAATTACCTTGTTTTGCTGCAACCAAGGAGTGATGCACTGTGAATGATACTGGTGTGCACAGGGCAAAGTTGTCAACTTGGCTCCGTTCTTGTATTCGGCACAGCATATCACACACCTAACAATTGAATGTAATAAAAAATATTAAATAAGAAAAACTCCCACAATAATTGATTGATAGTAGTTTAGTTAACGGAAGATCGATAAGTCGATGATTTGAAATATTAGCACCGTCCTAGGAGAGCTTTAGTTTTATCTTCTTGAAATCGGAGCATTTATCAAGTTCCGAAGATATGTAAAAATTTCCATATTACGAGCTTGCTATAAAACTTAACAATATTTATTGTGGTTACAATAATCCATACAAAAACTCAGATGTTGGGTTGGAGAAATCATACTCTACTTTTTCTTTCTTCTTTTTCTTTGAGAAGATACCGATTTTGTATTTGAATGTCGGTAAACGCGAGATGAGATCTGCTGAAAGTCCTCTGCTCTCGCTACCGACAGATTCTCCAAGTGATTGCAATTCCTACAAAATCGAAAAAACAAAATCAAGAAAACATATAACTTCGAAGAATAATATCACAGATTTCAGACACGACCAACCTCGTAAGTCATCGTGTCAGGATCAAATTCGTCTTGTCTTATGTTTCGACTTTCAGCCTGTAATAGATATATATATATAATTATAATAAACCTTAACTTCACAGAGTACAAATTAATGACCATTAAGTGGAGATGAGTATGCAAAGTACCCTAATAGGCGTATCTCTCGAAGTCGATTCTCTGTTATCTGCACATCAAATTGAGGTCAAATAATCTTAAAACAATTTAATTTTTTTTCAGTATAAAAAATAAAATCTTATAAAATATTTAATTACCAACTGTTCTGACACCATTCTCGTGAACGTATAAATTATTGAAGTCTTCCCCCAACTCCAATGCTCTTGCAAAGGCTTCATCGAGAGCCAATTGATTTTCGTGACTTGCTCTACTCGATGACTCATCCTCATTTCTCGAAACAAAACTACTATTGCCACTCTGATGACCATAGGCGGGGGGGCCCACACCCCTGTTCCGTTTATTGTTCTCAATATATAGAAACGCACTTTCCTGTCATTTGACAAAGATTACACCTTTTTTCTTTAGCTGTTAAGGAAAGTAGATTTTATATAATTTTTTAGTGGACCTACCTGCATTAGAAGAACTTCTTCGACATTAAGATCGCCAAATTCGGGGCAAATATCTTTGAGATGTTCGGCAACTTCAGCCGGTGACGGAGTAGTCAAATTACGGTTATTGACCCCGTTATTCATCATTTTCCGTAACGTTTTTTTTTTCAATTTGCCCCTCTCTTTGAACAATAATCCTGTTTCTGGAGCAGCAGATAAAAAAATCATGACTAAAAACTCGTAAATAAATCGGTTTTAAGACAAGACGATGACGATAACAAATTTCAAGAAACATGGATTCTGAATGTAATAAATATAGAAAACTCACATTGAGTGATGATTAGATACATAAAATAGTTTATCTTAATCTCAGTAGTTTAGTGTCAAGAGTACAACAAAGTTAGGTTCTTTACACCAAAAATTCAATAAAGATTGTTACTTGGAGACTCACAATTTATAATGGGAACAAATAAACCTAATTTCAGTACACACAGGCAAATTCCCAATTCACACACACACACACACACACACACACACACACACTGAAGCAACCATTACAAAGGGAGAGAAAAACAAGAACATGCAGAAACAAGATCTTGCTTACATACTGAGTAGATCAGAATTCAAGAAGAAAGATCTTTTTTTTTTTTCTTGAGATGGGCAAAAGATTTAACATTAAAGATAAACCATAAATACCAAAACTTAAATATTTAAAGATTAATGGGATTCTTGAAATTAGATAGAAATTGCAGAATTAAATCACCTCTAGGGATTTTGTGAAAGCTGGTAAAAATGGGTTCTTGATTTTTGCCCCCCCTTTGTCACTGTAAAGTATCTCCTCTTTGCTCGAGTGTGTGTGCGCCTCTCGCAGTGAAGTAAAAGAGCAAAGTGAAAAGGAAAGAAAAAGGCATAACTGAAAAATGAAAATTAAATAATAATAATAATAAAAAAAATTATATTATTTATTTATTTATTTAATTTAGTTTAATTTCAGTGGGAACAGAGAGAAAGGAGTGGGGAAAACAGGGCTCCACTTGACTTCTGTCTTGGAAGAAAAAAATGCTCTGGTAATTCTGAATTGAGGCAGCCTTCTTAAATTACCAGCTGTGATCAGATTTTTTGGTTAAAAAGAAATAAAAATAACGATAATCAGATATGGGGTGAATTGCGTTTTGAACCCCAGAATTATCCTGATTACCAATTTTCACCCCTGACATTTTAAAAGTGGCAAAGTTCACCCTGAAGTTATATATCTTATGGCAAGTGTACCCTACATCATTTTTTTGAGAATTTTTAAACAAAGAAATTAATATATCAAGATATATATTAACTTTTGAAGATGATTTCGAGCACTAATTCTTTTATTTTCTCTACTAAGTTGGTGTTTTCAAAAGCTTTTGCAAAAATAGATTATGAGTTTTTTTTTTAATATCATAATTAGTTTTTAGGTGTATGCAAAACCAACTTTCAAGTTGCTTCTCATAAAATAAGCTGTTTTAAGCTATAATTTTTAAAATATTTATGGACATGCTTTTCTATTTAAGTTTATTTTTCAATTCTTTTGAAAACACTCCTAAATTTTAAAAATAAACACTTAATATCAACTGAATTCATAATTACTAACTTCTGCTTTTAAATAAGGTTTTGCAAACACCACCTAAGAATTGGAATGAGATGATGGTGATTTTAGTGCAGTGATATATAAGTTCTGCAAAATTAAATAAGAAAGTGACATTCAAAGATGTTCAAGGGCCAATTTTAATTAAACGAAGAGATACACACACGAGCCCCAGAGAGAGAGTGTGTGTTAAACCTTAAACAACAAATCTAGAGTAGATTTTGTAGAAATAAATCTTGAATAAATCCCATAAACATGCGTCGAATTATCAAGACTTCATCGTACAGAAACATGAATCGGAAGTACGTTAACTTGCAATTGGAGTAGTGTACGGAAACATAGGGACATCTCCCGTTCTCCTTTATACGTTTACCCGACTACACTTACCAATAGTATAATACACGAGAACGACATAATCGGAGTATTATTGCTCATTATGTACACTCTAACACTATTGCCCTCTCGTAAAAATATCTTTTAATTATCGTATTAAAAGCAATTTGATCTATTAATCGATTGTCCTATTAATCGATAAAGAAATGGTACGGTACCATATATATCGAAAATTAGCGAGCATTTTCATAGTCCGTACGAGGGTACATTTTGGTACGGATCGTACCAAACCGACACGTATCCCGAATCATCCCTAACATGATTGGTATACCAAATATTGAGAAATGCATACCATAATAGAAATATGAACATAATATTATTCTTTTATTAATTCCGAGATAAGATTTTTATTTTTATTTTTAATTTTTATTTTATTTCCTTCTCATATGAATTCATGGTGTGAAGAAGAGATTAGATTAGGTTGTCATGATAAAGACAAAGAATCTGACGTGGAGTTATTAATGTACATTTAATCACATATGTCAACAAAAAACACCGATAAATTAATTGGGATAATTAGCAATACCCCCCTCATCTAGGTAAATGAATTAAGAAAACCCCCCCTCCCAAAAATAATTAGTGAAAACCCCCTTACCTAATATTCTACCCATATATTATTTAATAATCCCCAAACCACCCTTATTACCCTAACCCATGCCATTCTCTCTCTCTTTTTTTTTACATCGGAACAGGACCCATGCCATATAAGGCTCGTCTCTGAGCAACGGGTCTGCTACCGGCGACGATTTTGGGTGGAGGATTGCGATAGGTCTGCTATCGGCGGCGTATGTGTGCGTGGATGGTGATGGTAATGATGGTTGTGGGGGCGGTTTTGAGTGGAGGATTGCGATGGGTCTGTTGGTGGCGGCGGTTTTGGGTGGAGGATTGCGATGGGTCTGCTGGCGGCGGCGGTTTTGGGTGGAAAATTGCAATGAGTTTGCTGAATTCGCGTAGAAAAAGAAATTCGCGCAGGCAGGGCCTTAATCGACTACGTTTGTTTAATCGACTATGTTCAATAGTCGATTAAGGCTTAATCGACTATGTTCAGTAGTCGATTAAGGTTAACCGACTCCCGTTGTTAATTTTTTTTTTTATTTTTTTTTTGATTTTTTGTTTATTGATTCCAATATATAAATCAATTACAATGTTTGTATATTTTTTTAAATATAGTTAATTTTGCATTATTTTTGTATTTATGATTTGTTTTTTTTAATAGCTAAAATTTTAATCGACTATGCATTAATAGACCTGATTGAGAAAAAAATTAAAAAAACCAAAAAAAAAATTAAAAACAAAATTAAAAACAAAAAAAAAATTAAAAAAATAAAGATTTTCCTTAATCGACTATGAAGCATAGTCGATTTAAGACTAATCGACTATGCTTCATAGTCGATTAAAAAAACGGAAAAAATAAAAAATAAAAAAATCCTGGAGTGCTGACCCAGTGATGAGGTGGCGGGCGGGGGTAAAGCTGGAAAATGTAATAGCTGAAAATGGGTGTGGACTTTTCTCAAATGGACTAAAATATTTTGGGCCTCCCTCAATTAAAAAAAGTAGTGAGGGGGTTTTCTCAAAGAGCCCCAAATTAATTACCCAACTCCGGTACCGGCCGATGCAATCCAGGATATCTATCTACTCCATATTTTCATGTTACTTGTCGATTTGATTTTTTTCTTTTATATATATTATCTGTCACTTTAGAATATCATTTTTTTCTTTCATATTTGTTCTTGTGACTTCTAAAATTCTATCAAACATATATTTTTCTAAAATCAATGCATATTTCTTTACATTTTAATACCCAATCGAAACCTTAAACGACAGTTATTTTGGAATGGATCAACAAGCTAAGTATCACTTCCGAATACCAATATTGCATTAATATAATTGATTTTCTTTTTTACATAAATTCTATCAATACTGATTCTTATAAAGCGGTGAAAATTGTAATTTATTTGTATTAATTTACATTTTTTTTTTGTATTAATTAAACGACAACTATTTTAAAACGAACCCCATTTTCCATAAAAATGATTTAGATCATCATCTAGTTCTTTAGATTAAGTCTGTGCGTATGTATACATATATATATGTATGTATATGTGTGTGTAATACGTGTGTGTAGTACAAAAATGAGTAGAGCTCCACCTGTAATAGCTCTCTATATTAGTATTCTTCTGTTGGAATCGATTGTCATTTTCTTCCATCAGCAATCAGAAGAAACAACTCCAATTTAAATTTCAAAAAAAAAAAAAAAAAGAAAAAACAAATTCAAAATTCCATGACAGCTGCTACAAAAACAGCCTACCTTAGCATGCATACAACTACACGTACACATCTCCACCATAACATTTGTTTGTCTTCAAATGGCACCATTAACACCACACGCGCACTCACGCGCTGCAAAACCGCCATTTTATAATTAATTTCTCCCCGGTTTTATTACAACCCTAATCAAACAAACCTCCCCTCTATATATATATGTATATAACCCGCGGTGTGTATATATATATATTTATATACAATAGTTTTTTTCTGAATTTTCCGACCCAGAAAAAAAAAGTTATGTACTCCATGATGAATCCAAGTTTCTTGATCATCTCTTTCTTTGCGATGATCTTCGTGATAAAGCTGTACTTCCGGCGGCGAACATCGGCGGCGATTCCGCCGGGGCCGTACCCGTGGCCCGTCATCGGAAACTTCCTCCAGGTGGGCAAAAACCAGCACGTGAAGCTCGCCGGAATGGCCCGTACCTACGGGCCGATCATGTCGATCCGTCTCGGGTCGCGGCTGGTGGTGGTGGGCTCCACCGCGAGCGCCGCCGCGGAGATACTGAAGACCCACGACTGCCACCTGTCCGCCAGGCACCTCTCGTACACCCACCCCGCCTCCAGCCCGAAGGTGAACCAGTACGCCGTCGGGTTCGCCAGGGAGTGCAACGAGCAGTGGAAGTACATGCGGTCCATTTGTCGGGCCGGGCTTTTCTCAACCAAGGCCGTCCAATCTCAGGCCAAGATCCGAGAAGCAAACGTGTTAAACATGGTGAGATATCTGCATGCAAGAGAAGGCCAGCTCGTGAACATGAGCGAGGTTGTACTCGACGTGGTGTTGAACACGATGACTAATATCTTGTTCTCCGAGGATGTTTTCGGGCTCGGGCTCGGGTTCGGGTCGGGCCGTAAGGGGTCTGAGTTCAAGGAGCTGACCCGGCAGTACCTGGATTTGCTGGCCACCGTTAATCTGGCGGATCTTTTCCCAATAATCAACGGTTGGGATATTCAGGGCCTGCAGAAAAAGGTTAGAATTATTAATGACAAAATCTTCACAATGTGGCAGAAAATTCTCCATCAAAGAAGAGAACAAAGAAGTCAAGGAATCATTCGGGCTCAACAAGATTTCCTCGATTCTTTACTCGAAATCGGTCTCACCGAAAATCATATCAACCACTTGTTATTGGTAATTAAATTAATCGTGGTTTTAATTTATTTATATAATTACAATCAAATTTAATTTGAGTTTTTTTTTTTTTAAGGAATTGTTTCTTGCGGGGACGGACACGACAGCGACGACGATCGTTTGGGTGTTCTCGGATCTGATAAAAAACAAACACGCAATGTCCAAACTCCGCGACGAATTCGCTACCAAAATCGGAAACGAAGCCGTGATTAGGGAATCGGATGTTATGGATCTTCCGTATCTACAAGCATGCATAAAGGAATCGCTACGATTGCACCCTCCAATCCCGTTTCTTCTCCCCCACAAGGCGATCCAAACATGCAAAGTGATGGACTACACAATCCCGAAGGGGACTCAAGTCATGATCAACACATGGGCAATGTCCCGCGACCCGTCGGTATGGGCCGACCCGACCCGTTTCGATCCGGATCGGTTCTTGGATTCGGGCGTGGACTTCAAGGGGAAAGACTTTGAGTACATCCCGTTCGGATCGGGCAGAAGGATGTGCCCGGGATTGTACATGGCCGCTCGGAAAGTTCCTTATGTTGTGGCGTGTTTGGTTCACGAGTTTGATTGGTTTCTTCCGGGTTACGAGGATCCGAGCGAGCTCGATATGGATGAGGTGTACCTTCTTGCACTGAGGAAGAAGAAGCCTCTTGACCTAATTCCTAGAGCTTGTAAGAAAATGGATTAAGATAAATTAATTAATAAGCAAATGGTTTGTAGTTTGGTTAAGTACTAGCTAGTTAAGTTGGAGTTAATTAAGAGATGTTTTATTTTTGGTTTGAATAAGAGAGAAGCAAATGAATGGTTAATAATTGCTCTATATTTTGTGTCTCCTAGCTAGATTTGTTACTATTTGAATTTAAATAATTGATTGCATTAGCATATTGATTAATAATTAATGGTCTCTCTTACTTATAAGTTATAACTAAGGGTTAAATATATACATTTTACACTCCTAAACTATACCATTTGTAACACTTAGCCCCCTAAAGTATAATTTATAACACTTACCCTCTCAAACACAATTTAATATGCCTTTTAAATTCTAATACCTTAAAAAATATATTAAAAGGAATAACTTAAAGAAAAATTAAATTATACAACAAATAAAAATATATTGAAAAATGTAATATTTTAAAATTTAAAAACATGATACTGCGATGGTGGTACATATTCAATAAATAACATCTAATTGTTGTTGGACCAATTAATCGTATATATTGAAATCGATAAATTTTTAAAAATCAATGCATAACTTATAGTAATCTTGAGCTATTAAATTTATTTTAGTTCATTAATTTCTAAAAAACGTATGTTCATTCATTATTATGCAATATATATTACTATTTTTTCAATAGTTCAATTTTTATTACTTTGCATTTTGTTATGATTCGATAATTATTATATTGTTATGTTTATTATTTATTATAATTTTTAAAATATAAAATAATAGATGTTCAGAGGGTAAATGATACTTTAAGGGGGTAAATGTTACATATGCTATACTTAAGGGGTGTAAAATGTATTTAAACCTATAGCTAATGCTTATGCTCATTATATTTGAGCATTGATTGTGAAAAGATGGAAAGTTTTTTTTAGGGTATATAGGAGAAAACAATGTGGATGTTATGTTCCGTAATCGTCGTTTTCGATATGGTTCGATAAAGTTGTATTTCTTCGAAGTGTGCAATTCAATTGCAAAAGTTGATGACGATTCGATTCTGAGATTGTTGTCTCGTTCGATAAGCTAAGACAATAAATGTCGATTACGTTTCGTTTCTTGAAAATTCCACGTGTAACTCAATCAATCGTCTCTTGATGTATTGGTCGAACATCGACGCCGCAACGGGCTAATGCCACCAGGCACCAAGTGAGCACTTTTTTTATATAATAGCGCGAACAATTTACTTTCGTTGTAAGAAAAATATAGTATTAGTGACGTAATCATCGTGACGGTATAAATAACTATCATTAAATACGTTACGTTGTGTATAACAATATTTTAATTTGTGTTTTGCCGCTAATTATTATTATTAGAGTAAATTACAATCACCTCCCTGAAAGTATGATCAATTTACGAAAAAACCCCTCTTGTTTGGATAATTACATCTACCCCTCAGCTTTGATTTTTCTTACACCTTCACCCTTATGGTGTCAAATTCAACATAATCATCTAGATTTCGTGAAATGTGCTCTAGTTTGTACTCATTTTGTGTAAAATACAGAATCTGATATATACAAGCAAAAAACACATATTATGATCATCTTGCTTCAAAATGTAGAGTTCGAATGGGATAAAATAGGTACAAAAGTAATAATATTCCATATAATCTCGAAGATTCCACTAAATTTGAAACCGCAAGGGTGGACGTGTAAGAAGATTCATAGTTGAGGGGTAATTGTAATTACCCAAACAAGAGAGGGATTTTCGTAATTTAGCCATACCTCAGGGGTGTTTGTAATTTTCGCTTATTATTATTATTTTTAATTTTTTTTCTGAGAGTTCATTTTTTTTATTGTCGCTATATTAAATTAGTGATAAAATCTAATTAATTTGTTAAAAAACAAATAGGTCTTAAATAATTTTATAAGATTTTAAAACCATATTCAAGATGTATAATTTAAATTTCAAATATCAAATGCTTTAAACAAACATATTTTTCTTCTATCGAGTTATCTACTTCGTTTTACTATACTATTAAGTATTAACTATACGTATAATGTACATCACCACATGACTTTGTTTTTCGGTGATTTCGATCTGGAATCCGAAGAATCAGGATTTTATTTAAATTAATTTGCACGCTAATCCAAGTTTATTACGAATGCATAAATTAAATTAAATTAAATCTTTTCCCAATGAAGTAATTAATAGAGAGGCTAACTGCCTAATTCAATTCAATTAATGGGAACTAACTAACTGGTGCATCTTTACCAAAAAAATTCACCCAAGGAAAAATGGTGTAATTTTCTCAACACTAAGTATCATTTATATTTGAGTAAATTACAGACACCACTAAGATTCACAGATTACGAGAAAATCTATGATGTTTGTATATTTACATTTATTCCATTAATTATGAATTTTCTTGCATGTCCATTATAATTATGGTGCCAAATTCAACAGAATCTTCTAGATTCTGTGGAATGCTCTCTAGTTCGTACTCGTTTAGTGCAAAAATGCAGATTCTGATGCACCGCAATCTGATATATATAAAAGCCAAAAAACACATCTTATGATCATTTTGCTTCAAAACGTGGAGGTCGAATGGGATAAAATGGGTACAAAATTGAGAATTTTACATATAATCTAGAATATTCAACTAAATCTGACACTGCAAGGATGAACGCGTAAAAATATTTATAGTTGAAGAGTGGTTGTAATTATCCAAATAGGAGGGGGTTTTTCATAATTTGACCATACCTCAAGGCGGTTGTAATATACTCTTTATATTTTAAGGATTATAATATAATTATTAAAATAAAAAAAGAGTGAATAAGCTTACGCAAATCTTCAAAATGACATGCTTCATACACTTTAAATTGTACTAAATGCTCGCCAACTTGCCACGTCATATATTTTTATTAAATACAATTATTAATTATTATTATTATTTTTTTTAAAAAAAAAAAGGAAAAGGAAAAAAAAGAGGAAACAGATAAGACCTGGCAGAGAGTTGAACCCACTGAATCTCACAAGTAAAATAGTGACAATGACATAAGGTACAATTGCTAATCTCAGACAGGATCTAATTTGCTCTGGGCCCCATTTATTTTTCTCCCGAACCACTTTCTATTTTCTAATTATTTAAATATATTCTATTTTAATGTGGTTATAAATTAATAAAACCCAACTTTTGTCCTTTAGAGAAATAATAATAATTACTAGTCTCGACAAAAAAAAAAATATCTATACATTTTTTTTTTCTTTCACTGTTGCTCTGTCAACTTCTTTTGCTTACTCTTTATTATAGTATTCTATAATTGATTAATTTTATATATATATATAACAGTTCAATTATTAAGGTCAAATCTCCCTTTCCCACCCTTGAATCACTCTTCAAATAAATGAGATAATAATAATTAATATTTTGTATTCTCATTTTCAATAAGTAATTCGGGGTGCTGGTAGAGAGTTAGATCAAGAATTTGTATTTGTAGGAATTTGGGTTATATCCGTCATTTTGAAATTAATTAATAATAATAAAAATACGTATTCTGATTTTTATAGTGCATTCAATGGATACACAAGCGTTCGTGATGTTCGATTGTGACCCTGAATATCGAGAAATAACAAACTCAAACCACATAAACATGGTCAAATAAGTGTCGAAATTAAACCTCCACTGTACTTTGTAGCTCAATTCAAATATTTTATTAGTACATAAAGTATCAAGACTTTTGAGCTTTTAAATAAATAATGAATGGTGTGCCTTTTAATAATAGATAATTAAGTGGAACATTTTATAGTTGAATTTTACAAAATATCTAAATATTTTATTTTAACAACCCATATATTAATACGATTTCTTGTGAACTTCAACCTTATATTGTCAATTATGTAGTATGTATTTATCTCATATATATATACAATTTCAACAAGTTGTACTCTTCTTTAATTTCCTCCCCTTTGATTATTCTATTATGGCTATTTCAATTTCAAACAAAAGTGTTCCTTATAATTCGTTCGGTTTGATATAATTCACTCTCAAACGATACGGAAAATTAGATGCTACACCGTATCGATCGATCGAGTTATTTACACTAAATAACAACTGTTAACAGTAAATTTACACATAATCACATAGAAACCGACTCTCCTCCCACATGTGCAACTTGAATCTCCAACAATCAACACCGCCCCTTTTAAAATCTCTAACAATCAAATCCGCCCCCACCCCCACCCCCAACACACACACACACACACACACACACACATATATATATATATATATATATATATATATATATATATATATATATATATATATATATATACACCTCCACCAGTTGTACTTTTGTTGCTATAAACTGATATATAATAAAGTTTGGCATTTTTCACATTTATAGGAGAGGGAGAGAAATTCAAACTGAGCTGAGGCAGAGAAAAAAAAAAATGGGCGGTTCAACCCCACCACACTACACTCCACTCTCCAAACCCGCCGCCGCCGGCGGCGGCGGCGCCGCCTACCTCAGAAAATCCAAACTCTACTCCCTCGCGATCGTCACCGTCCTCTGCTCTCTCTTCTACCTCATCGGCGTCTGGCACCACGGCGGCGGCGCCGCCACCACCACCAACCTCGGCACCACCCTCCCTTGCTTCACCACCACCAACAACACCACGAAAAAACTAGACTTCGCCACACACCACTCCGCCTCGGACGGCGGCGCCGCCGTGAAACCCTACCCACCATGCAGCGGCAAGTACAGTGAGTACACGCCGTGCGAGGACCCAAAGAGGTCTCTGAAATTCCCTCGGGACAAGCTGATATACAGGGAGAGGCACTGCCCGGAGAAGAAGAAGGAGCTCCTGAAATGCAGGGTGCCGGCGCCGCACGGGTACAAGAACCCGTTCAAGTGGCCGGCGAGCAGGGATCTGGTGTGGTACGCCAATGTGCCCCACAAGGAATTGACGGTCGAGAAAGCGGTACAGAACTGGATCCGATTCGAGGGCGACCGGTTCAGATTCCCCGGCGGCGGTACCATGTTCCCCAACGGCGCCGATGCTTACATTGACGATATCGGAAAGTTGATTAATCTCAAAGATGGCTCTATCAGAACTGCCATTGATACTGGTTGTGGGGTAAGCTTAGTTTGCCCTTTTTTTTTAAATTAAATTAAATAAATAAATAATTACCCACCTATTATTATTATTTAATTATTTTGAATTTTATTCATTTTATTAGAGGTAAACTTTTGATGGGTTCTATTTGGAACTAATATAAAACTTTATTCTTCATAAATTATAACAAATCCAACTTTTTTAATTACAACTTTTGCATAATATTTTGAGAATATATGATTTTGCCCCCCAAGCTTTTGATTCTTCTCTATTCTCTTGTGTAAATTTAGATATTTTTTCTGTTTGTTAATACAATAAAATAATACTACAAAAATATATATATTTTTATTTAAAAGCATTTTTTTAATAACTCTAAAGAAAAATCGATGTATTATTTTTAAATTAGTTCGTCCACTCTTATAAAAGTGTCTGGACCCGCCCCTAATTTGGAATTATGTAAAAAAAAATTTTTTTATAAATAATAGCAAGCAATCATCTTTGAAATGATTATATCTTTTTTTCAGAATAAAATAATTTATCCCATACTAATTTTAGGGTGTACTTTTGATTTTTATTTATTTTATAGACCTTGCTTTTTCAATTGAGGTGACATTTTCCTTGTGCAATGTTTTGTATCTTTCTCTTGGGTTTCATGTACTTTTGGAAGACTTCTGTATATATATAGTTTTATTTGGGTAATTAATTAGGGACCGGTTCCTAGTGTGGTGTCAATAAATTGAATTAAATTCTAGTAGATGTTACATGCCATATTTGGTATATATATATATATATATATATATATATATATATATATATATATATATATATATATATATATATATATATATATATATATATATATGAGGAGCTTTACAGTTATACACCAGCTTTTTATTTTCTGCAATATTCCTATCTATTATTGGAGATATAAGATTCGCATGTAATGAAGATGAAATGAAGTTAAAGAAATATAATTAATTTAGCTCCCATTTTTGGTTTAATCTTAGTTAATTGCATCTTAATTACAGAGTGAATTAATCTTTTCATACTATAATGAATTTAATTATAGGTTGCGAGTTGGGGAGCGTATCTTATGTCGCGGAATATTCTCCCGATATCCTTCGCGCCAAGGGATACACACGAAGCGCAAGTGCAATTCGCTTTGGAGAGAGGAGTTCCGGCACTTCTCGGTGTAATTGCCTCCAAGAGGCTACCGTATCCTTCTAGGGCTTTCGACATGGCTCATTGCTCCCGTTGCCTCATTCCGTGGGGTCAAAATGGTAATTTCACACTTCACGTTAATAAATTTAAAAACCGTGGTTGAATATAATTGTGGCTATATATATGTTTTTCTGTGTAGATGGAGCGTACTTGATTGAAGTGGACCGGGTTTTGAGGCCGGGCGGGTACTGGATACTATCCGGTCCACCGATCCGTTGGAAGAAATACTGGAAAGGGTGGGAGAGGTCGAGGGAGGATTTGAATGAAGAGCAAACGCAAATCGAGAACGTAGCCAAGGGTTTGTGTTGGAAGAAGTTAATCGAAAAGGATGATATCGCTATATGGCAAAAGCCACTCAATCATTTAAATTGCAATAAGTTGAAGAAAACCACCACGAACCCTCCGTTATGTAGCCTTCCCAATCCCGATAACGCTTGGTTTGTTTTTTCTTTAAATATAATTAATACTTACATTATATATATCATATCGGTTTTCTTTCCGTGCATCTTAATTGGACGATTTTTTTTATAGGTATACAAAGTTGGAAACATGTTTGACCCCATTGCCGGAAGTTTCTAGAAGCGAAGAAGTTGCGGGCGGGGAGCTAGAAAAGTGGCCGAAGCGGTTAAACGCCATACCTCCTAGGATTAGTAAGGGGACTATAAATGGAGTCACACCCGAAACTTTCGAGCAAGATTTGAAACTATGGAATAGGAGAGTCTCTTATTACAAGACGGTTAATAACCAACTCGGACAAGCTGGAAGGTACCGGAACATTCTAGACATGAACGCCTTCTTGGGCGGATTTGCCGCTAATTTGATCGAAGATCCTCTTTGGGTCATGAATGTGGTCCCCGTCGAAGCTAAGGTCAACACGCTCGGTGTTATTTACGAGAGGGGACTAATTGGAACATATCAAAGCTGGTACGTAAAACTAATCGGGTTTAATTTATTGCATTTAGCACCCATGTGTTTACTCTAATTGTCAAAAAACTACCCATGTGTTATAAATATTAGCGAAATCCCCATATGATTCGATTTTATTAGCAAATTACCCCCTAAAATCGCACCATAGGTGGACCCAATGCAAATTCGGTATAATGCAGGGGGTAGTAAATGCAATAAAATCATAATTAATCTTTACAAACTTTTACTTGCATTGTCCTTATGTAAATATATCTCGTGCAGGTGCGAAGCAATGTCGACGTACCCTAGAACGTACGATCTCATTCACGCCGATTCGGTTTTTACACTATACAAGGACAGGTAAATCGAAATATATCAATTTACTCGGTGTACGTTATTACTATATTACCCCTCCCAAAAAAAAAATTAATTAATTCTTTTTTATTATTTTGTAAATGTATATATATGTAGGTGTGAAATGGAAGATATAATGTTGGAAATGGATAGAATATTGAGACCAGAAGGAAGTGTAATAATAAGGGATGACGTGGACACTTTGGTGAAGGTGAAGAGAATTGCAGATGGGATGAATTGGGATAGTCAAATCGTTGACCATGAAGATGGTCCATTGGAGAGGGAGAAGCTTCTTTTTGCAGTCAAACTGTATTGGACTTCTCCAGTTTCTGCAGATTAATAAAATAATAATAATAATAATAGTAATTTTATTACATGTATTAATTAATTTTATTACATATACAGGATCTTCAATCTTGATGCTTATCAATATTCTTTGTCTAGCCTTAAAATGTGAATTGAGGGTCTGGTTTATTTGAATTGATCAATATTAATCTATTTGTGTATTTTATTTATTTATCTTTTGTTATTTAATTAAAGTTTTGTACGACTTTATTCTTGATCAAAACAAAACTTTGGGTTGATGAAGTATTAAGTTTCTTAATTAAAATTTATAGACACAATTAACAAACCTAGGTTACTATTTTGCATTGGAATTAGAAATGGATTAGTAAATCAAGGCCATTTGGCACAGATTCAATTGTTCTATAATCCAAGTTTGATTCACAACTTGATATTATATTTTATGTTAAGCCAATCATGGTCCTCTATTTATTTTCTTTTTCGGTTTTGTAGATGCTATACTCGATGAAATACACCGGGTGATCATGCACCGTTGATCTATACATAATAACACACACAACCCATATGTGCGCGTGCATAGTGATAATTATTTGTGTTGATCTATGGTGCAATATAACTCGTACTTTTCACCATGTATAACATCTCATACATTTTTTTTCCTTTTTTATTTTTTTTTTCTCTTTTTTTGGAAAAAAATATACTATTATTCCTTCTTCCATTGCTTCTTTTGAGGGTCTTTGCGTTCTCTCATATTGTCTTCTAATAGTTTCAAGACAAAATTATTTTCTTATAATAAATTTTGTTCTTTACCATTAATTAATATTTATATGGAGAGAAAATATATCATTGCATAATTTTCTTAATATGTACTTCAATAATATCTATTATTTTTTAGAAGAAAAAAAATATTTTATATTATCTGTCACTTTAGAATTTCAATACTGAGTACTTATATAATTATCAATTTTACATTTATAACCTCTCTCCATCACTCTCTTTTATTAATTAGTAATAAGGGCATTTCAGTCTAAAATTATACATCTTACTTAAATCAAGCCACATTTAATGAAATCTTTAATTTCCGTGTAAAGCTAAAAAATGACTATTAAAAAGTAGTGACACACAAATTGGCCTATATCAATTAGGTTACTCATGCAAAATGTAGTTCACACACACACCTTCCCATTTGATAACTATATATAGAACTTTAAATATATCTTGAATGATCATCAATTCAAAAAACAAAACAAAATAATAAGCACAAAAATAACAAATAGTAGAGCAAAATGAAATATAATTATTTCCCTCTAGTTGTTATGATAATAGTGGTACTATTGGCTCATGAAACCCAAATTATGACTCGAACTCAGGCACAAAGTACTTGTGCTTCCACACTTGCAAGCCTGAACGTGTGCGCTCAATTCGTGGTGCCAGGTGGTGGTGCCGCCACCCCGAGCCCCGACTGCTGTGGGGCCCTCCAGGCGGTGAACCACGACTGCTTATGCAGCACCCTCAGGATCGCCTCCCGCATTCCCACCCAGTGCAATCTCCCTCCCCTCACTTGTGGTAATTAATTATTAATTTCTCCCATATATATATATATTAACTTTTATATTGTTAATGTTTAATATTTTGTTTTATTGCAGCAAATTGAGGATGGACCATGGATGTATTTGATTGCTAATAATGCCAGAAATTCTAGCTAGTAGAGATGTCTGGATTTTAGTATTTCCATGTAATAAAGCAAAGTGTGATGGAATAATAATAATAATGGATTGTTTTCATTTAATTTATCTATAACATATTTTTTTCGAAGAAAATAAAAATGAAAAATGACTAAAACGTAAAAGAGAATTCAATTTCATCAATCGAAAAGGACTTGATATGAAATCCACAAAGATGATCCAAAAAGAATATTAGCTTAAAACGAGAGCTAGAAATTCAAAGTTCCCCATCAAATCACAAATCACAAGATATATGAATTTGAAATCTCTCCTTCAAATATTCCTATAAAAATTCAAATTGAGTTCAACGATTTCTTTTAATAATGTACTTTTTCGAAACATTAGTTCTCAATTTGATCCAACTTTCTCATCAAAAAAAGAAAAAAAATGATCTAACTTTCAAATTACTAAACTTAAAATCCATTTTTGTTCTTCAACTCCTCTTATCAAATTCAAGTATTGAACACTCAAGATTTCATTAATAGGATCATCTTCATGAAATGCATATTTTACAACTTTTAATGAATGCCTTCTTTTCTTGTATAATTTTTTTGACTATAAATTGTGATGCTATTTTTCTTAGAAACATGTCCTCTCTTAGAAGAAACTCATTTTCTCTCGTGCAGTTTACGAGTTATTGCATAAGAGGGGAGATTTGCCCAATACACTTATATAGTTAGTTGTGGTTCCTAATTCCTTCACTACCAAAAAAAAAAAAAAAACTCACCATGATGTAATGTGTAACTCCTTTTTTCATGTTAAAAGAACATTGTTTCCGTCTTTTGATACAAAAATAAAATAAGATAACAAAAGTCCTCAATTATATAAGTGCACTTGCTAAACTTCCACCCTCGTGCAGTGGCTTTCAAACTGCACAAGAAATGTAAGCACACATTCTCACAGCTTAGTTGATAAAATAAGACACAATTAATTATTTAATATCTAGTAGAACAAAACTGTTTAGGGGGCGATCTTATTATATTTCAAAATTGTGTATTTGAAGATATTTTATTTATTTATTTATTTATTTATAAGAATTTGATATCTTCTATTTGTTTAATATCTTCAAACTCAATTATTTGATATTTTATGAGACTGTATAATCTTATTTTAATTATGCCTTTAATTACCCAATTGTTTATTTTTTTTATAGATAAATAATCTATCTATTTAGTCGCCTCTGCTTTGGGATAAATCGCTACTGCTCCGCTCCCGCTTTCTATTCATTTACAATCCGATCCGCTATATATACCCATGAAAGAGTCGCTACTCGCAAGCCCGAAAGACAGTTGAATTTTCGTACAAATCAAACGGACTATATTAATCCAAATCAAAACCCCAATCCAATTTTCCTTTCCCCCAAAACAACAATCCACTGATTTACTCTTCTCCGGAGACCCTTTCCACCACCGCCGCTCGGAGAATCTATCCCTCGGTGCCACCTCGATCCCCAATTCTGTCGGCGTATTACACACTGCAAATTAAACCACCGGCCACCGCTTGCTGGAGGCGGCGCTGTCGACGGCAAGCACTATTCCTGCGGCTTAGCTAACTGCGACTGTGTTTTGAATCCGCTGCTGCTGCTGCTTCTTCTCCACTGCAATAATCGAGTTTCCTTTATGCATTAGGTACAAGTAACAACTAACTCATTTATAATCCAATTGCAGTCCCATCAATCACTATGTGCGTTTCTGTCAGAACAGAAACTTCATGTTTAAACTAAGAGACTTGAATTTGCTTGTGGAAGAGGGATAAATTGATTAGTAGTTTAAATTTGATCTCTACATAGATAGTCCGACTGATCCTGCCATACGCACTGCGCTAGCGCGCAAACACACATGGCTGTTAAGGGTTTAGATAGCTGTTAATATTTTGAGAGGAGATCAATTAGGGTGAAATAAAAATACGTTTCAGATTATGGTAATTATCTTTAAGAATAGCTATTCCCATTTATAATAATGACTTTATTTTGGGCTTAGTTTTTGTTTTTTTTTTTTTAAATCCGAGTCTTTGCTATGATTTCATATATGTATTAACTAACTGGTTACCAACTATGAATGAATTCTTTAGTAGTTAGAATTAGGTCCGTCGACATTGTTGAATTTGTGGTTTGCGCATTCATTATTGTTGTACAAGTTCTCATTATCTTATCGTACATGTATAATTACAAAATGTAACGTATTTTGTCTGTAAGATTTTTTGACTACCGAAATTTTCCATGTGTTTTACTTTATATAATATACAGTTTATTGGTTAAAAAAGGCGATAAAAAAAATAGTGGTGAAGAGGTTGGGTATGATCCTGTACAGTCTTGAAGAAGACTATGTCGTCAAAGAAGACATGTTCTTAGTTTCATTCTTGTTGCCCAGGAGAGACAAGTAGCTCTGTTTACTATGTTTTCATGCTTCTCTAGAAATTATCAAGCGTAATGAACCAAAAGAGGAGAGATTTATGTGATTCTAAGATTTGAAGTGCCTCCTAAGCTAAGTTATAATTACTTTAAATGTTTTCAAAATCAATCGAAATTATCTTCTTCTTTTTTTCCCTTTTCCATTTCATAAGCGCGCTGGTAACGTTCAAGCTATTGGTAGGCTGGTAGAATTAACCTGTTGAAAGTTGAGAAATGAAAACCAGAATTCATGTAATTTTATCAGTCTTGACTCTTTGAGGCATTTGTGTTTGTCATGAATGTAGCTTCCCCATTCCTTTTCAATACCAGGAGTTGCATTTATGATTCATCTGTAAATTAGGTTTGCAGAGTTAGAGACTTTTTGCACATATTTTGGCTGTGGAAAGAGGGTATATACTTATAATCTTTGGTTATATAGCATAGAAATTAGCTATGAATCTGGTCAGATACATTTTTTTTCTGAGAATGGGCCTATGAACAACCACCAAGAAATCTAACAGAATTATTTACCCTTTAAACAGAGCATAAAAACTCAAGTTTTCACTCTTATCCTAAAGCCCTTCATTGTTTTGCAATATTTCTTTGGCAATCTGAATGCCGACATTGTTATTTTATTTTTTCTGTCCTTGGGTGTCACTCGATGTATTTTGAATGAGAATTTGTTCCTACAGTAAGTATATATCATATTTCTTAGTAGTTTATACAACTATGTTTTTTTTCTTTTTTTAATAAAATTCTATATTAGAAGTAATGCATGCTTGTGAAATGTTTGCATAAGAACGAAATCGGAAAATCTGCTTAATGGTGTACAGACCTGTTACGGCTAATTATTTTCCATGTCTTTTTCTATTTGCTACTAAACCCTCATAATCTATTTGTGAGAAAAGAGTAGGAATGTTAACTAAGGGAGTCATGCCTATGTTTAACTATTGCTGCAAAAATATAATTACTGCTCATATGTGCAGCCTTGTGAAGGAAGCTCATGGATATGAATGGGAACGAAGTTGTTATGACACATGAGGAGCATGTAGGTGTTAGAATGTCGAATAATTTGGATTTGAATTTGGAGCAAGAATGCCGTAGCCCAAAATCGTCCAATATGAATGGGGCTCATCAGTCCAGTCGTTCCTCAGAAAATGAAGTACTCAAAATTGGTACAGAGTTTGAATCAGATGAGCAAGCGTACAGATTTTACAATAAGTATGCAGAGTTGGTAGGATTTAGTATAAGAAAAGATTGGGTCAATAGGAGTAAGGTCCATGGTCGTGTGATGTCCAGAAAGTTTACCTGTTCTAGACAAGGTCACCGCAAGAAAGACAAGAGAGATGTTAATGTGAAGAAGCACCGCAAAGAAACAAGAACAGGTTGCATGGCCCACATGGTAGTAACTCGTCAAGCTGATCGAAAATATATTGTCACACAATTTGAAGAGGGGCACAATCATGAGGATGTGAACCTGACTAAAGCTGAGAAGTTACTTGAATCACCGTTATCTGGAAAAAGGGACTCTACTGAAGTTTCTGAAACTGACTCAATCAAGAACTCAGAAATTCAGTCAAAACTATCTTTTCAGTTGTTAGGTATACGATTTTGCCCTCCAGAGAATTTTGACGACCTTGAAATAAATGATGAAATTTTTTTGAGCTCTTCAAGGACAAGAGATATGAAGGAAGGAGATGCAGCAAGCCTTATGTATTATTTCCACAGGCAACATTTTCTAAATCCTTCATTCTTCTACTCTGTACAACTTGATGCTGATGATAAAGTGAGCAACATATTTTGGGCAGATGACAATATGATTATGGAATATGGCCACTTTGGTGATGTTATTTGTTTAGATACGTCATGCACTAGAAATCCAAATTCTCGTCCTTTTGTTCAGTTCATCGGATTGAATAATCATAGACAGGTCGTACTTTTCGGGGCTGCCTTTTTATATGACGACACTGTTAATTCTTTCAAATGGCTGTTCAGAACTTTTGTTGAGGCGATGGCTGGTAAGAAGCCTAAGTTCATTTTGTCGGATCAGGATGCTACAGTTGTCCAAGCTATCCATGCAGTACTGCCAGAAACAAACCACTACATATGTGCATGGCAGATGTATCTAATTGCACTTAAGCATCTCCGCCATGTAGTCAAGGAATTTGATTCTTTTGCCGTTGATTTTCGGAGTTGCATCTTCGGTCATGAGCAGGAAGAAGATTTTATTAATGCGTGGGATTCTATGCTGGAGAGTCATGGCCTTCGTCACAATGCATGGCTGAGATGGATGTTTAGAGAAAAAGAGAAATGGGCTGTAGCATATGGGAGAAATACTTTTTTCATTGAAAGGGATGGCACACATCTTGTCGAGCTTTTCTCTGATAAACTCAGAAGCTACTTAGACCCTGACACTGAAATGCTTCAGTTTTTCAAGCATTTTGAGAGTGTGGTCAATGAACAAAGATACAAAGAACTGGAATCAACTTTCAACATGGGAAGACATGTTCCTGTTTTGATGGCTAATGCAGTTTTCTTGAAGTATCCCAGTGAGACTTACACGCCTAAGGCATTTGAAGTCTTTCAGAGAGAATACGAAAAGTGTTTAAATGTCGTCATTAACAAGTGTGGTGAGCGGGACACGAGATCTGATTACAAAGCTAAAACATATGGAAAGTCTAGGGACTTTTCGGTCATGTATAATTCTCTTGATGGCACTGTTTCTTGCAACTGTATGAAGTTCGAGCATGCGGGGTTTTTGTGCAGCCACGCCCTAAAAGTGCTTGATCATCAAAATATTAAGGTTGTTCCGTCCTATTACGTCTTGAAAAGATGGACAAAAGACGCAAGGATTTTACCCGTCGGAGAAAGTCATTGTTCCACAGAGAATGACAACAAAAAGGTTCTTGCCACTCGTTACAAAGACCTGTGCCGCAGTATAATTAAAATATCTGCTAGAGCTGCCGAATCGGACACAGCGTTCGATTTCGCTACAAGAAAACTCGATGAAGTTATGCAAGGGATTGAAAGAATCTTGAATTTCAAATCTTTCGAGGAAGACAAAGCTTTCTGTGCTTCTGATAATGAACTACCCGATGTAGATCTTGGTAGAAATGAGTTTGATGATCAGGATATTGAAGTCTTGAAAGGTACCGCCGAAACGGAATGTATAATACCTGATAAAGATCAACTGAATCACTGCGACCCATCTCCACCTGAGACCGTTTTGTCTGTTGCATGCCCCCCTTCTGCATACATTTCATCTCCTAGTCCACCACCGTCAATGAGTCCACTTACGCAGGTTAAATTGGTTACATTTTCAAGAATTTCCGCTGCAATTCTTTTCCATATAAATACTTATCCAAGCAAAACGCTGACCTCGTATTTTTATTTCTGCTGCAGGGTTTATACACCATTGACGCCAATCACATGGTTCAAAGCATATACCAAGGACCTAATCTAATCATTAACCAGCAGCCTAATTCTAACATGTATGAGCCTCAAAACTTTTACTCTAGCCAAAATCATTCTCCCAGCCATGCTCAATTTATGCAGGTAAGCTCATTTACGAGTACCATCACAACGTACAATATAGAGACAATTTAAATTGAATACCCCCTGCTCTTGTACTTATTCACCCCGCAGGAGTCTTTGATCCGTAACCAGTTCCAGGATCCAATGTCAAATGGCACTCAGTTGAAACCGGTAATGTATAGTTGTTAGGACCAAGAAATTAGGTAGTATTTTTTTTTTCTACCACGAGGTCAAATAAAGTTGCTCCCACATTATGCACGTGCAGGTAATGGACGATGACCAGCACCCACATTCGTCTTCGTTCATGCATTATAACCACAGATACAGAGCTGCTGGTGTTTAGAATTTACATTATAAGAGATATCTCCTCGGTACTTCTCCACCTGTCAATATGCCTATATACTGTAGCAGGATATGTAGCACACAATTGTAAAACTGGTTTTAAAAATCGAGCCCATTTTTCCCTAGTAAAGGAGTCTCGTATAGAACTTGTGCACTGTGAACAGCGGTCATGTGGAGGACTTCAGGTATTTCTTTCTCACATTTCTTTGATTATTTTATGATTCTTTCCGTGTTTTTGCCTCGTCATTTTGTCTCTCTTTCTTACGTATGTTGTATTCTTTTTTCTCACTTGATGCTCTGGTGATTTGTCTGCCAGAATTCATCGAGAAAGCTGTCATGAGCAATACGGGCAGCTGTTGTAAATATAGCACCTAGTCCATATTGTATCGAAACTTTGAAACGTCGCTCCTTTTATTGTGAATGAAAGGGAGTCAAATACTAAAAAGTTATCGAAACAAATGTAATGTTTATGGTGATTCGGAATATTTAAATTAGCGGTTATACAATTTTCTACTATCCATGAGATAATATTGTTCCGATTTTGATATTCAACCCAGAATCGAGCAAAGAACCGATCCTCTTTTGACCGAATATCTCGTGTTTAGACTCGTTGAATAATGCAGGTGGAGATCTTTTCTGTTGTACAGAAGGACATCAGAATCGTAATAAGATTTGTGTTTTGCAGCAAGTGTGGGGATTGGAAATTGTTAGGTAGTGAAGAGTTTAGTTTCTGTCAGTCTCTGATATTTCACTTTCATTTGGGGGACCATAGGGTTAAAATAGGAAAGTAATTTTTTCTTCTAATACTCACTATCCAAAATGGTGTTTTTTTCAAAACTGAAATGTTAAATATCGTTTAATTTTTTTGCATCCGTATAACAAATTCTCATATTCAAATTGTCTATTGTTCTTTACTATTCATTTACGATTCGTTCAATGCTACACTTGGTAAAATATTATCGGGTTATATAAGTATATACTTTATTAAATGTAGCATTACAAAACTATATTTTATCGAGAATAATATACACGTGGCATCCTACCAACTCATGAGAACCCACACAAAAATTAAAAAAAATGTGCCGACATTGTAATTTAGAAATGCTTTTTTATGATTTATGAATTGTTAAATGTTCATCAAAGATTTTGGAATTCTAGGCATATAATAATGGCTTAAATCATATAATTAAAAAAAAATGAATAGTGAAAAACTAGTAAATACTAAAAAGAAGATATTTGAATGGAAAAAAATTGGAGAGCAAAGGTCTCTTATTACCTGTCAATTGTCGCCTACTATAAAAATTCAGGGCCCCAACATCCAACCACCACCACAACACCACCCCAGCGCGTCGTCTTCACTCTCCCCTACTCTGCAATAAATACCCCAACACCTCCTCATAAAACAACTGATCATCTACTCCACTAATAGCTATAATGAGACATGGGTAGGACCAGTAAGTGGTTCCGTTCACTCTTGACCTCCAAAAAGTCGTCGGAATCTTCGCCGGCGAAGGAGAATAACAAGAAGAAGTGGGGGGCTCCCTCCAATTCAGGAAACAACTCCGTTGCATTGAAGAATCATGCCGGCGACCCCCTGTCGAGTCCGTACATCGCCGGCCTCGACGCCAACCGGCACGCGATAGCGGTGGCCGCCGCCACCGCGGCGGTGGCGGAGGCGGCGCTCGCGGCGGCACACGCCGCGGCTCAGGTGGTCAGACTGACCAGCGGCGGCGCTAGCCGGAGAGGCGCCGCCCCCACGTACGGCGGCGGTGATCGGAGGCGGCCGGTGGCGGCTGCTGTCAGGATTCAGTCGGCTTTCCGAGCGTACTTGGTTCGTAATTTAGTTTTTTTTAACTAATTAAGTTTACTTTTATTCCTTAATTCACACAGTTACTAGACTTAAATCATATGAGAAAGACAAAATTAAAGATGGATTACTTAGTTTTTGGAGTACTCTGCCCACTTAAATTTATTACAAGAGAGTTCGTTCTATCTTTTAGGATGAGAGATCCCATCTTCTCTTTCTTGGATTTTATGGTCAAGTCTTTTTCTTGCACACACACACACCCATGTGTGTGTGTGTGGAACTGAAGTCCCACAAAGCTAGTGGCTGTGACAACTCACTGTCACTTTGGATCATTCATTCACTTGTCCTCTTACACAGGGCACTTTGAGCAATTTGTTCTATTTTCTGGGCTGTTTAAATAAATTTGTTTAATTTTAGGATCTTCTTGCATTTTACCACATGTTGAAATGCAATTTTCTGGGAGCCCGTTAGTTCGAATCGAAAAAAGTCGTGCTGCTTATTATAATTTAGAGATGTTAAACTAAAGATTTCGAGTATTAGTCGCGTGAAATTAAAACAAGTTGTAAATAATATATATGTATGTATGTATAGGCGAGGAGGGCGTTGAGGGCACTAAAGGGATTGGTTAAGCTTCAAGCGCTCGTGAGAGGTCACATTGTACGGAAACAAAGTGCGGATATGCTGAGGCGAATGCAAGCGATGGCCCGAATTCAGGCCCGGGCCTCTACTCATCGATCTTACACGTCTGATTATTCCAATCCCACTATCAAGTTTTCCAATTCCCATCATACGGTGAGTGTACTGTACTTACTTCTCGTTTAATGGATTTTAAGTGTTGATTTTATTTTCTGATCGCTTGCGTAATACTCGTGTGTTGTGTACGTTTTACTCGCAGGACGTCGCAAATAGTCTCGGAAAATATGAACAGAGGACGAGTAGTTCCAAACATTGTGGATCTCTTCTTCAGGTAGGTTATCTCCAAAAAATTTTTTGTTTTTGCTGCGATTCTCAAATAAAATTAGATTTGAAAATGGATTAATCGACCGAAGAGAGAGAGATATGAAATACGAGAAGGAAGATGCGGGAGTATCTCATTAATGTTATTTTTATTTGACTATGTCTAAATTCGTCGTATGGTGATAATTCAAATTAATGTTCCAATTTTAGAAGTTTCGAGTAGAGTCTTGAACATATATCATGCAAAATGCAGCAAAATAATTCAAGATTAAGAATGGGAAATAATAATAGTTCGAGCAACGAAAACTCGCACTTAGCTTCGAGATGGTTAAATCACTGGATGGAACAATCGACATGGAACAACCTCCACGATGCTGACGACGAAAGAAGTGACAAAATACTCGAAGTAGACACATGGAAGCCCCACCACCCCACCGCCACCACCGCCACTCGAAATGACCAAAATGCCCCTCCTACTTCCCAATATTTTTCCGCATGGCAAGACCACTCGAGAGCCGTTCCCTTATCATCGAAACATCAAAAACCGAACCCTAGTGCATCTTCCGAGGACTTTTCGTCGCTGAAATCGCAGAATCATCAAATCTCAGCATCTTACTGGACGGCAGAAAACAGCCCGAGACTGCATTCATCATCTTCAGTGGGACCCACGGGCAGCGACCAGAGGAGGCCGTTCACTCCGGCGAGGAGCGAATGTTCTAGAAGCTTGTTCGGAGATTTCCTCGGCCACCCTAATTACATGGCGAACACGGAATCTTCCAGGGCTAAAGTTAGGTCTTACAGCGCGCCAAAGCAGAGGTTTGAGGAGCTCGCCAAATTTAGCCGGGATTTTTGGGAAACGGACACTATTTCCGAAAAGGGTTCGGTTATTTTGCCAACTAATAATCGGAGTACATATCAGGTGAAGAGGCAAGGGACTCCTACACGCAATTACAGGCGTAAGGCCTAAGTATGGATATTGGTTCGTTTGTCCGAATTTGTGACGAGAACTTTGGGAGAGTGGTGGGACAAAAGGGACCAGCATTTTTCTTGTACAATTTGGCTGTTATTTTTTAGTGTGTTGTTGTTGTATGTTTGTGTGTGCAAAAAATGTTTGAGTAGCTGCCTTAATTATTAAACCCTCTGTTTCACGATATTTGTTACTATTGAGAATTTCTTTTGTTCGATATTATCTCACTTTAGGATTTCAATGTTACATTAATTATATATTTTTCAATTATCTCATTATTAGTTCCACAACACTCCTCCGATATTAATTACTAGTAAACAATGGTCTTTTGGTATAACAATATCTATTATTTTTTCTAAAATGAAGACATATTTATTGAAAAATAGGTATTCACGTGGCATTTGATAATACACCTCATATTATTACAATCATTATTTCACTTTTTGACTTGATTAAATAAAATCTAATGATGACATACATCAACGGAAATGATAGCACTAATAATAGTGTGTCCAAAAATGCATTATTGGAGTCACTTTCGTTTTTCGTCCTTCACTTTTATTCCTACTCTTTTGTTCAATCACAATATTATCTCGGTTTTGTAGAATCTGCATCCGGTGAAATATATCAGATAGTTTTAAACTCAAAGAATTCATATTTATGTGTGCTTAGTATATAATTATTTATGTAGATTTACGGTTCAGAACCATAAGCCGTACCACCACCTCAAGTAGGCGGTTATTATTTCACCCACGTGCAACTGCATTTTCTTGAATATTATGCATAAATTCGAATAAAACTATAAAATTATGTGTGGTCAAATTACATGTGAGTTAATATTGATTCATATTTAATTATTATTTTAACTGATAATTAGAAACAAAAAATCTTTAGAATCTATTTATTTTTATTACAAAGAAAAACTTGGAAAGTGTCACTTTGGTCAGCCATCAACCGTTGACTATAAGCTTCTGAGATTCAGCTTCCTTCCTTCCAGCTTAGCGTATTGGTCGACGCTGCACAGAATTAATATAGCCACGTGTTAATTAATTAACACTAATCACTAGTAATCAATTTTAATTTGTAGAGAGAGAAAACTAGAGAATAAGTATATATAATAATTAATTTGATGGTTAATGAATTAATTACTAATCGCAGTCGGTGTTGGGGTCGATGACGAATCCGAGAGAAACACCGCAGAAGCCGGGCAAGGTGGCGATGGCGGTGGCGTTGGAGCTGTAGGTATTGATTAGATCCATCAAGCACTGGCACACGGTGCGGCGGTTGCCGCCGCCTGAATCCGCCAGGTTGTTCAGGCTCGTCATCGCCGTGCAGCAGGGTGACCCGGGAATCGGATCCGGCGACCCGTACATCACGAAATTCGAGCAGGTGGAGACCAGCGCCGTCACGGTGCTGCAGTCTTCGCCGGCGGCGGAGGCGGCCGGAAATCGCCAGAACAAAATCAGTACTGTCACTCCGATATAGCTGATTCTCACCATCTCGTGAAATTTGTCGCGCATTATCGTGTATTTTTCGTCCTTTTTATTTATGCTTTTTCGAATATAAAAATAAATAAATGATTTTAATATGAGATCGGATATATGTGAAATTAATTGCTTATAATGAGGTGTTTATGGGAATTTGAGTTGGTGCAAAGTGTAAGTCGTGTGCTATTTTCATCAACTCTGCATGATTCTTTTTTTTTTTTTTTGTAATTAAATTTCTTTTTTTATGTTCACAATTAATTTATTTTGGACTTCAAGCTCATAATTAATTAATATTTTTTTTTTTAGTAAAGCACATAATTAATTCGGCTGACAAAAAAAATAATCATCAATTGTTCTTTTATGTTCACAAATCACAATTAAAATTTGTTTAATATGAACAAATTATAAAAGTAATAATAAAAGATTATATAATTACACATACAGAAATGGCTTCGCCCGGGCTCGAACCGGAGACCTTCAGTGTGTTAGACTGACGTGATAACCAACTACACCACGAAACCATTTGATGACAATAAATTTACGTTGTATTATATCAATAAACAACCTTGAATAATGTCTTATACGGAAAGCACTCGAATCTTGCACAAATTAATACTGAAAGATTCTTTCATTTTTTAGAGATTTTTTTTTTCTTATTACTATATAGCACTTACATGTTAAAATGTTAAACTGAAGTCATAGTAAAGTTATGTATTTATTTTTTGGCTTTTGGAATTTGGACACCGGAAAAGAACATAAAAGAATTATATAATATGTGTTATGTCAAATATTTTACCATCAGTGAGGATTAGATAACTAAATATCTCTCTAAAGAATGAGACTTTTTTTTTACTTATTAATTTGTTGAAATTACAAACAATGCAAACTGTGTTTTATAATAAGTATATATATGATATGAGATTTTGAACATAGATCACAAATGGTTTCGTGGTGTAGTTGGTTATCACGTCAGTCTAACACACTGAAGGTCTCCGGTTCGAGCCCGGGCGAAGCCAATAAATTGATATCTTATTTTTTTGTTATTTTATTTTTAACAATATGAACCATCAACTTCTTGAAATAAAATAAAAAATAAAAAACTGGATGAAATATGTGGCAATTGACTGGTTTCTTTGCTCTATTCAATGTTCACTTGTAATGATAGATTAGTCTTGGTTCAGGTTGTGCATATGAACTATGTGTAAGATGTGCTCTCTCTCTCTGCATCAACCGGTAACAAGATTCATTCAGATTCCGTGTTTTTGTCGACACTGGATTCTGTGTTCCGTGAAATTGTCCGATATTCTAATTCCTCAAACGAAACTAAATTACCTTAATGTACAGACACGAAAAAGAATCGTGTGGTCTCCCATTTTATCAGACATCTTTCACAGTGCACATCAAGTGAACAAGAATAAAAACGGAAAAAAAAATGATGTGTTCAAATGTATAAAGATAAGTAGCAAAGGCTATGTAAGAATGTCGGAATCATACCCGAAAAAAAAGTTATAGTTCCTCGATGAAGAAATATAAAGACGATGCTTTTACAGAATCACACACTAACTACTTAATCAGCTCAAACCTCAAGAAAATCAAAATCCATGTCATCACGGGGTTACTACTGTGTTTACGAAAATAACAAATGCTATTTCGTCACGAAACATATAAACTTCCGCGTCGATACAAAACAAGAATTCCCGAACTGAGTACAGTCCAAACAAAGACAATCCACCAAGCTATGAACAAGGCCACTTCTTTCGCCAAATTCGAGTAAGTTGAATAATTCTCTAAACCCGGAATTCCTTTAAGAAAATTATCATCGAACTGCGTGAAGCCGAAGAGAAGGAGTACCAGCATCGAAGGCGCAAAGAACTGCACAACCACTAAACATAAGTAGTGATTGTGGAGAAAAACTTTCGCTCGGCTATAATCCAATTCAGGTACTTTACTCGCGTGCAATCTCTGGTACCAACACAAAACAGCTTCGTTCAAGAACATCTGTACATTCGATCGAACAGTCACGAATTGGAGGAGCCCTGTAATGAGCAAGAGCCACCGCCTCGAGCAGTAAAAATTCGATCTTGACATACCGACATAGCCAAACAATTCATTAGCCATGTGGGGCCCACGTTTAGCACCGGCGACGTTCTTGTTGACAAGAAACTCTGCAAACGGGCTGATCCAGAGCAATGAAGTGAAGAGGGCAATCGTGTAATTAGCGTAGAGGAGAGATCGAGAGAACCACCCGCACGAAATTATGGATAAATTGCAACGGATTTGATCGGTTCCGAGCCAAAAGGCTCGTGCATTACGTAATGATGGCATATAAAGACAACCCACAATGCAGCCCATTAAAACAGCAAGAAGAAATTTCCCTAACCCATCGAACGATTCGAACCCGAAATCAAGAACCCATCTCGGAATAACCTCGAAAACGATAATTAGACCTAATAGAAACCCTAAAACCCCCAAAACACAGCTCAATTGCTTCTCCAACCTCTTGGAAGCAGATTTCTCAAACCCAACCCTAATTATAAAAATCAGCAACCTAAAAACACCCACCGATCCCAATAAAAGGGGAATCACAGTCCCGTTCTTCACCAATCCAAAATCCGTATCAACACTCAAGAATGTATGGAGAATTAGCGATGAGAAAGCGATGAGAGTGAAATTGAAAGCACTGTAAAACTCGTTGAAATAAATCCTGGATTGGAGGTGACCTTCGCTGAGTTTGAGCCTGAAGATCTGGGCTTTATTCTCGTCGAACTCGAATTTGTCTTTGGATTTCTTTCTGGGCTTGGGCTGGTCGGAATCGACGGCGCCGGGGCGCCGGATAGCGGCGCGGATTCCGCCGGGGGATGAGCTGGCGGCGGGGTTGACGTCATCGGGGTGGATGTAAGTGTGGAGGGCGTGGAGGAAGAGAGATGGGATCTTGAAGAAGGAGAAGAAGAGTGTGAGGGAGATTGCGAACGCTGTGTGGAGTACGAGATTGTTTGTGGAGAGAATCAGTGATGTTAGTGAAGAGGGCATTCTTTAATCTTGATCTTATTAATTGGTTCTTCGATTTTGGGGAAGTTTGGATTAATGGCAGCAATCTGAAGATCTCGGAACCACCACCACCATCTTGTGTTTGTTTCGTTTCAGATTTGATTCCCCAGCAGCAGCGCACTTTTCTTTGTTTAATTAATTAATTATTTTTAGTTTTTTTTTTTTTTTTTTTTTGAATAAATTATAAGTCAAATTTCACTTTTGCCCCTTGGACTTTCGCTCGGGATCACTTTAAACTATTTTACTCTTGATTCGATTGATTTACGCCTCGATGCGTTTGTAAAATTGTTCCAATGTGACTCACATTGTTAGTTTTCACACTTTTGACATTTGACACTGCTTGGTCAAGGCTTTGAAGTTACGGAAACACCCTCGATTTTCACTCTCTTCTATTGGTCCCTAAATGACATCCCTATAAAAAAAAAACCAACAGCTTTTGATGCAATTGATTTTTGATTGATTTCTCCCACATCAAAGGTATGTCTGATTTTCCCATTTGAAATTACAAACGAGGAAAATGGGGTGCCCGATTTTCTCTTATAGGACAAACAATGGGTGAATTTGGGCTCTTGGAGAACGAATGAAGATTGTCCCTTGTAGGAGTGTAAATGAGACGAGCCGGCTCGCGAGCTTTCGAAGCTTGCTCGAAAAAAGCTCGTACTCGAGCTCGAAAAATCGAGCTCGAGCTCGAGCTCACGAGCCCGAGCTTTTCGACGAGTCGAGCTCGAGCTTCATTTCAGTTGTTCGACAGCTCGCGAGCAGGCTCGCGAGCTTCACCTTTTCTCTATATTTTTTAATACATATTAATAATATATAATAATAGATATTATTAATAATAAATAAAAAAGAATAATATTACTTTTTTAATTGAAAAAATAAATTTGATGGATGGATTTTTGGTTGTGCCGAGTTCGAGCTCGCGAGCTCGAGCTCGGGCTCGTTTCGTATACGAGCTCGAGCGCGAGCTCGAGCTCCTTGGAAACACAAGGAGCTCGAGCTCGAGCTAAAACTTATAGGCTCCTCGAGCTCGAGCCTTGGCGACAGAGCCGGCCCTAGGGTTTCCAGGGCCTTAGGCGAGATTAAAAATCGAGGCCCCGATCTTATAAATTTTTATAAGTAATATTCTTTTCTATTAAAAAAAATTATCTATATATATATATTAAGCTTTCTTTTATTTAATTTTGGGGGCCCAGATTAAAATGGGGCCCTAAGCGATGGCATCTCTGGCTTCCCCTCAGGACCGGCTCTGCTTGGCGAGCTCGAGCTCGAGCTCACAAAATAAGGCGAGCTCGGCTCCAGCTCGGCTCGTTTACACCCCTAGTCCCTTGTAGTGCTTGACCGAAGAGCGTCCTTTGTGTATGAATGAAGTGATATATCGAGCAACTTTCTTCTAAATGGAAGGATAAATCTATTATATCTCTTGATTTGGAGAGAAGGATAAATCTATTATCTCTCTCCGTATCCCGGGGTTGAATTGGAAAAAAATGTAGCTTCATGAAGTATATTGAATTTATGAGGTATTTATTTACGAGGTCTATGATTTAGATAATCAAATTTTTGGTTCTTTGTGACCATTCACTTCTTTGATTCCTTGCACTACATATTACATATCCGTCTAACACGACAAACAACATGAAGATGAGAGCATGAAACTAAACGGAGGAGCGAGGACGTTTTTGTAATTTCCAGACGCTGACCAAAATGTCAAAAGTCGTTGAGGATCCCATTGGAACAATTTTACAACTACGGGGAGATGAGATAAATTGATGCAATCGAGAGTAAAGACTAATACATAAATCCAACGTTTAAATTATTTATACATGAAATAATAAAAGATTATAAATTGAAGAAGTATTTTACTCCAAATTGGTATGGCGAGACCGTATTTCGTCGGGGCTCCGACCCATTACTTCGCCCAATTCGTAAACCACCATCTCAAACAACACAAACATCGCCCCCTCGTACACACTCCCCATCGGTAGCAGCGCCCGACCCGACCCGCTTCCATCCACCCTGTCATCCGCCATCGTCTGCGCCGGAATATGCGCCACCACACTCGCGTACTTCACCGACGATCCCAATTCGGGCTGAGCCGTCAGCACCACCACCCTAGCGCCGCCGTCCCGGGCGATCCCGCATATGGCGTCGACGGTGGAGAAACCCCCGGGGCCGGCCGAGGCGATGAGAAGGTCCGGCGAAGTGATCGGCGGAGTTGTCATGTCAAATACGCAGTGGGCTGAGAGGCCCAAGTGGAAGAGCCTCATGCATAGGGCCTTCAGCATCAGGCCTTCACGGCCCACGCCGTAGACGAAGATCTTGCCGCCGCGGCTGGCGGCGGCGGAGATTTCTTCGACGAGTATGGTAAGGGGTGGTGGTGTGGAGGTAGGGGCGGCGAAGACGGCGGTGAGGTGGTTGCAGATTTGGGCGGCGAAAGCCGCTGACGTGGAAGTCTTGGGTTCTTGTTCGGGCTTAGCCATCTCTTCTCTCACTAGAGTCTTATCCTATAGTTGGGTTATGGTTTTTAAGTTTCCTTATAATAATTTTAGAAAAAAATAAATAATAATAATATATGTGACATTAAATAATTTATAATGAAAATAAATAAGGATTTTATTCTATTTAAATTGTACTTAAAAGATTCAGAAATCATTTAAAATGTCAGTATTACAAATTTAAACGAGTCAAATTTCACAAGTGCACACAAGTTCTGAATTTTGATGATGAAATCTAAAGCCATTAGAATGTATGCATACAAGTTAGCGGAATCGAATGCGCGTAAATTTTCAGATGTACCGATAAGCAACAAAAACAAAAATTAAAGATGAGTCGACTCGTTAAAGAGCAACAAAGTAGTATACTGATTTTTCATGAAAAATCAAATGAAAAATCAAGATTCGCTCGCGGGTTGTGATGATTCCTTAACATCCATTTCTTTGACTCCAGATTTTGCGACTTTCTTTCCATTGGACTTGGTTTCCTCATCAGACTCTTCCTCGAGAGAAGATCCGTTCCGATGAAGTAAAACCTTATGATACTCGTCGTAGTGAGCTGTCCTGTGGTCCCTAAAGCTCTTCCGTCTCTCAGAATCGGAACCTGATTGGTTGGTTAATAAGATTAGTCATAATCAATATTGTCTTTCACACAAACAATAGTACGTTTTTTCCCGAAAGATATCTAAGTACAAATATACATGGATTTGGATCAGTGAGGATTTCAAATCATTAATAACAAGTCCTATTGAACTTGTTCGGACATTTGACAATGTATTTCAAATCCTTAGTTCTTATTGCAAGTTATTTTTCGATCCATTGTAGTGAATTTCAAATCCTTCATGTTTTGGAATCATTTTGAACCCATTTATTTCAAATCATTCAAACCGAATCTGATAACAGTTGTGAAAATTGTGTAATGACAAAGCAATAACACGATACACTATACCGAGAAGAGACGAACCTTCTTCATCTTCATCCATTGCATCTCCATCTTCTTCGGATGATGTCCAACCTGAGTGATGCACGTCAGTTTTGCTAGAGGAACCTACATTCGATCCAGAATCTGCCGCTTCTGCTTGCATTGTGTCGTCAAAGCAATCCTCAAAACTTCCTTTTACGATAGTCGATGGTGCATCTACATCAAGAAACCAGTTATACACATGTCGGCATAGAGCATATATCCAAACTTGCCACACGATGTAATTAAATGGATGATGTGTGAAGAAGGTTTTTAATTTTCACCCAGATCATATATATCTGAGCCTATACGAGCACGCAACAAGACATTTGTAGCTAAAACTCTCGCGCTATTGATATGATTTAACAGAAATTAGTTACATTATCTATTTATTGCCAAAAAGATCTATCAATTCTCTTCATTTCGTATCAAACCAATAATAGCCAGCAAGACCAAATTCAAATACCATATTTCCACAGTTACGTTCCTACCAAAATTCACTCCACAAACATAAGAAATTAGCTCACTTGCCTGTTGTTCTACAAAGCTATCCATAAACGCAGGAATAATCGGGAAAAAAAAATTTAATACGAGAGAGAATCATCAGTATTTCTGCATGACACATCATAGATTATGACAAAATTCCAGCAGCATTAGATAATTGTGTCTCACAAAATGAAGCAAAAATCAGAAATGTAATAAGAAGAAAACAAAATCAATAAAGATACCATCATCATCAGCATCAATCATGGGATGGTATGGTGTCTTTGGTTCAGTAATTTTCTGCCTCACAGGTTTATTCGCCTCGATTTCTGCTAATTTAATTTCATCCCAACTCACTCTTGTCCTAGCACCAAAAATAAATTGCCAGCATCAGCATATATTGGATTAGAACTACGATAACAAAATCATATCAGAATCATCATAAATTGGATTAGAACTACGAAAACATCATATCAGCATCAGCATAAATCGGATTAGAGCTACGAAAACATCATATCTCAGCATCAGCATAAATTGGATTAGAGCAACGAAATCATCACAAATTGGATTAGAACTACGAAAACACCATTTCAGCATCAGCATAAATCAGATCAGAGCTACGAAAACATCATATCTCAGCATCAGCATAAATCGGATTAGAACAACGAAAACATCACCAAATTGGATTAGAACTACAAAAACACCATTTTCAGCATCAGCATAAATCGGATTAGAGCTACGAAAACACCATCTCAGCATCACCATAAATTGGATTAGAACAACGAAAACATCATACGAGCATCAGAGTGGATTGCATTAGCATAAATTACCACAGCACAGGTCAAACTTCCTGACAAAAATGGGCATATAAAAACCAATAAAAGGACTTAACGCTTAAATTTCACGAATCCCTAAACCCTTTGAGATTCCAAAATCACACTCGGCAGCAGAAAATTAAAGGCGCCAATTTTTTTTTACTGAAGAAACGTGCAAAACTAAAAATAAATGAAGAAAAAAAGCCCTAATTTAACCAACAATCAAGTTTTTCAAAATATGCCCAGTTACATACATCTCCAATCGATACAATCTGAACTGTTAACATAAGCAAACAACTGATCATAAAAATCAAACAACTAGAATAAAACTGAAAAACAAATATAAGATTACAGCAACTTTAAAAACGGGAAATCGAGGCCGAAACTGAAGTTTACACATGGCTAAAAAACTGGAGATCGTATGATCGGAAACTGAATCGGTTCAGGGAAGAAGATATTCATACATTTTGTGGAAGAAACTATGGATTTTTACTGCCTCTGATAGCTTCTGCGCCGAAAAGCAAACGACTTTACTTCGGGCCTTTTCTCCTTTTTGTTCTTCGTAGGGAAGAGTTTTTTTTTAATATTGTTTAAATAAATAATGCCCTATTGTGGGCCGGGTTCGCGGGTCCGGGTTATTTTGGAGTATCCATATTCCCCGATTTGAATTGCAGCTTAAGACCCAAAAAAGCAGGGTAAATTGCAAAAACCCCCTCAACTTATATTAAATTATAAAATCCACCTCCACCTATTCGTAATTATCTAAAAAAACCCTGATGTTTGTTTATTTCTTACATCAACTCCTTACTATGTGACTTTTAATAAAAAAATATATATATATTCTAAGGAACAAACTTTATAAAATTTTAGATATTTTATTTTACTACTCACCTATTTAACAGAAGTTATGATAGATTGCACACATTCTCTGTTAAACCATTCGATCAACGGTGAATCAGATGGATGATTTTGGTTATACGGATATATGGGGGTATTTTTTGTTATTTAGACTAAGTTCAAGGAGTTTTCGTAATTTACCTATGGTTTTCGGACTTTGGGGTTGAAACTCGACCCGGTGTGGGTCAAAGCTAAGGGTATTATCGGTATCCGCCCCTTGATGCAGAAAGTAAATTGGGGCTAAATCTGAAAATCTCTACACAAATTTGAAGGCAAAAATTAAAAAACAGCTTTGTGGAGTTCTTCAATTAACACCGACAGAGGTAAAAAAAGGTAAGAATTCTGCTCAATTTTGGCTTATTCTATCTTGAATTTATCGAAATTACACGATTTAATTTATCCTTGAGTCTGCCTTTGCAGTTATTTCCTTGATCCGAGCGTCTCGATTGTGTTTTGCGTATTTCTAGACGACGTCGTAAGCTGTTTTTGATTGATTTATTTTGTGTTTTTTTTTTAATGATTTGAAAGGGTTAGCTGATGTGTTTTGAGCCTCTATTGAAGCTGAGATCTTGTTGATCTTGATCATATGCTACCATGCAGATGCAGTCACCTTTCCTTTTCTGGTTTTTCTTTTTGGGTTTTAGGTTGAGATTTGGGTTTATTTGCTTTTGGATTGTAATGAGTTAATGGTTGTAGAAATTCTGGGTTTTTTGGAAAAATAAATCAGAACGAATGGTCCACGTTGTTAGGGTGGATTGAGGAATTAAGCGCTTTTACATACCGAGATTCATTTTCAAAAAGTGTTCGTAAATCAGCATTTTACCCTGTATCACATGAACAATGCCTGTTGTTAACAGAAGGGGAATTGAGATGCACAGTGAATAAGACATGTTTACGATATAATGTTTTGCAGCGAAGAATAATCGAAGCAATTTAGAATGCAGCCGTTTCAATGTGAAAATAGTCCCTATGAATGGTCGTTTTCCTGCTGTCTTAAATCTTGATTCTTCTCTTACAAATTAATCTTTGTTGGATGTCAAAAATGATTTTTATATAGAATAGTTAGTTTTAGCAAACATGTCGTACCGTACATTTTATACTGTTGTTTTCTCAAATTTATGTATGCGTAAGGTGGTGAAAGAATGTACAGCTTTCCCTTATGTCAGATGTCGGAATTCACTGGTTTTTGCCCAAGTTAGTTTCTTTAGAGTGGTACTGGTTCATGTACTTGTTAAACAAACCACAAACATGCTTTGCCAGCTTGACTGAATATCTCAGTGGATATGAAGAGTTCATATATGCATTCAAATTGTCTCTAGACAATGTTTCAGTTAAACAACCGTTATTCTCCATATTATCTGTTTTTCTTAGAAGACTCGTGCATTAATTGCAAAATATTGAATTCCTAGTCTCTCACCATAGGCTTCGTTGAAGACGCGATAGGGAAATCAGAATCATCGGGAGATGTTTTCATTGTTTTATGGACTCTGGAAGTACATGCTCAGCAAGACAGAGTTTCATGTCCTTATTCTTGGGATTGACAAGGCTGGCAAAACAGTAATATTCTCAGCTATTCTCCTTTGTTTTGACTTTGCAATTTCATTTGTTACTAGTCAATGTGATTGATGGCTACTTGATTTTTTTTTAAATATCTTGAAACTGCAATTTTGAGATATACAAAGTTTAGTGGTGCAGATGATGAATACAGAATGACCCCTCGTTCTCACTTAAAGTAGATAGCAGGATATGTAATAGCTGACATCTGTGACTATATTCATCTTTTGTGATTAACATTGCTTAAAATATGACCTTTTTCAACTTGTCGACTTGATTGATATGTAACAGCTCTCTGTAATTTAAAGATGTAGTACCTAATGTTCTATGGAGTTATACATGTTCGTTAATTAAGCTGATATCTGAACGTGAACTGGTTATCTTGTACAAAACCAAAAGCCAAATTTGCTTTGCTTCTGAAATAAAAATTATTTGCCTCTGGTACCATTTAACATGTCAAATTTTGCTTTGGGAAACCCCCTCGGGCCTCGGCATACATCTTTTTCTATTTCCATAATTATTATAATTTTGTAGTTTATCTTTATAGATAATGTTTGCATGACTATAATCAAAGTAAAAAAAGTGTGCTATTAAAACTCAAATCTTTGTTCAAACTAATTCAGACTTGTGAATTTGTAGACATTACTGGAGAAATTAAAGGCACAGTACTCAAACTCGGAAGGCCTTCCTCCAGACCGTATTGTTCCAACCGTGGGACTAAATATCGGCCGTGTTGAAGCGTCAAACACAAAACTCGTATTCTGGGACCTGGGAGGTCAGGTTTGAAAATGCTCTCAATGTTTCTTTTTATAATTAAATGTTTTGCATATTTCGTTGTTTCTTTTTCTCTGTTTGGTATATAGTTGTGAGCTTTTGGATTAATGCTGTTTCAATACTTGATTTTATTTCATTTTGAGAAACTGTCACTGATGAGAGACTTATGTTTTTCATCAGCCTGGTCTTCGCTCCATTTGGGAAAAATATTATGAAGAGGCACATGCTGTGATTTATGTTATTGATGCTGCTTGTCCGTCCCGTTTTGAAGATTCGAAATCTGCTCTTGGTAATATAGCCAACAATACATGTTGATGTCAATATTCTTTGTTCGTATCTTGTCTTAATTTATCCTCTGAAAACTTTATATACATATATATATGGTTTGCAGAAAAGGTTCTTCGGCATGAGGATTTGCAAGGAGCACCCCTTCTCGTTATAGCAAACAAGCAGGTACAGCTATTCCTTCTTATCCTGCACTACTACATTTACCAAATTACTCTCACATTGCTTTTTCGAATCGTGGCAATAAATTGAAGGGGCAATATTTGAAATATCTCTCTATACTTATATTTTATATAAGTATATTTTTTTAAAGGAAAGATAGGATGTTTGTAATTTGCAGGATCTTGATGATGCTGTATCAGCTGAGGAACTAGCACAATATCTGGATCTCAAAAAGTTGGATGAGAGAGTTTATACATTTCAAGCTGTTTCAGCTATCGATGGGTACGTACGCACACAAAATTATCTTTTTTATATGTATCTATTATGTAGACGATTAAATGATTCTTCTGGTGCACTGCACCGGACATTAAAAAAAATTGCTGGGGATGAATTTTTGAACATTTTGCAGGCTGGGGATTAAAGAAAGTGTAAATTGGCTTGTAGATTCTATGGAGAGGAGTAAGAGGACAGATCTGTTGAGAGTTCGTGCTGGATCAAGTGTTGTCTAGAACTCATAATACAATATTTACGACTTTTATGTTTTTTTTTTTTTTTTTTTTTTTTGTTTTTTTGTAATTTCCTCTGCAAATCTGGGTTTTGGTTTGGATGTGTGATTGGACTGGCACCAATTCAGTAGATATATAGCTTCTTTCCGTTTTCGTTCTTACGTGGAAGTTAAAATTGCCATGACGAAAATCCGTGCAGCATTTAGGTGTTTATTCGATAAACTGATAATAGTTAAATCATATCAAACCAAAACTTGGTTAAATGGAACGTTAAGATGCACTATTTAACATTGGTAATTGTTTTATAGAGCACTGAATAGTGCATGTTCCATGTATCTGAATATATGCGAGAAGTTTCGTCTAAATCGAACAACAAACTCCTTACGTATTTATTTGCTTGACGTGTTAAATCTAAACTTTTCCTTTTATGATCATTTGGTGAAAAATTCTAGCCACTTGAAGAAGTTTTCCTGCATTGTGTTCATTACCTCTAATAACAAAATTTTCTTTCGTTTGAATAAGGTTTGATTTTCAAGAACCACCCGTTAATTATCGTGTTTAATTTTTTTCCAGATATAACCAACCGGTTACAAATGAACATGAATTACAGCAGCAGCTACGTTTTAATCAAATAATTACATTGACATATTGAACAAAATCTCATATATATATTTATTTATCTGATAATGTATAGAAGCTATGTTGCAATCTATAAGATATATAAGTGTTGAATAAATATATCTCGAAAATTAGTTATGGAGTGGATTGGGACCAGAAGGAACGGCTCTTCGTGACACTGCATGAAACTTCTTGCCCTCGTTCTTCTTCGTCGAATAAGTGGAATTAAATTTAGCTCTTATTCTTTCTTCGTCATTTGCAGAATCATTGATTAGCGTGGAACCGCCGGATAAGCGAACCTGCGATGAAACAACGATGAATACGATAAACAAGAATGTAATAATGTTTCGAATCATCATCGTATCCAAATGTACTTAAAATAAAGAAATGATTTATTTAATTTTTGCTGAATGTTTGTTAGGTGTGATTAGGTTTGAGGCTTATTTATAGTGGAAGAAGAAATCCTGTTTCTGGACTATGTAAAACAAAAAATTATTTAAAAAAAAAATAAATAAAAAAAATTGGCAGGGTCTTGAGAAATTGACACTGATCGATCTTCCACGTGTTGTTATGCGAATCTAATGCCGTCCCTTGTTGAATATTGTTATGAACATCTATCAAATTTATGGTTAATTAGCCAATATATAATAAATAATCTTTGGGGAATAAATTAAAATAGGTGGACTTTTGAAAGATGCTGAAACACACATAAATAAATAATTTATACTCGACAGATTTTTACATGTAATTTTATGTAGTACGGAATCAGACAACTTCATTTTCCAAAAAAGTTAGATACGGGAACACGGGAGATGTGTAAATATTGAAAAGGGTGCATCTATAATTTCTAAAAGATATTATAACGTTTAACTTGTTTATTTATCGGCAATTACATATTGGGGTATTTACAAATAAACCCATTAATAGGTACTTATTCATAAAGAGATTCAGACAAAAAACTCATTTACCAATAAGTCCACACATGGTCCTGATTTTTGTAAAGGACTAAAATAATTCCTCATACTTTAATATGCTCAAATTTCATCATTAACTTTATTTAACATCAACTTGACCCCAAATTTTACAAATTATTCAATTTTGACCCAAAACTTTTTTTTTCAAATTTTTTTTATCAAAAACCTTTTTTTCCCGCCGGATTCCGGCGTTGACTTTTCAAAAAAAAAAAATCTTCTGGATTTTTTCACCGGTTTCCGGCGTTGACTTTTTCGAAATTTTTTTCCCTTCTTTTCTTTCTTTCTGTAACTTTTTTTTTTCGTTTAAACAACAATATTGCTGTGATTGGCAGTAATATTAACTATCTATATTTATTTAAATCAACATTTGGATTAGATTAATATAACAAATCTATTTGTGGTGAATGAAAATTATTAGTTCAAAATATGTTGAAACAAGGAATGTGGGATTTTGAGCTATCCCACATTGGAAAAGTAGTGAAGTATTAAGCTATTTATATATCTCAATGTTGGATCCATACAACTTTATTTAGGAGACATGCCTAATATGTTATGAATTTTGAATCATGCCCGCGCGCCGCGATTGTTTGGATCCAATTTGGGCTTGGGCCCAAAACAGTATACTTTTCAAATTTTATAAATAGACCCCGTTTTTCCCATAATTCCTCACTTCAATCCAAACAGCTTTCGGCATACGATTGAATGCCCGCCCGTCATTAAAATTTTCCACGGACGATAATTTGTTACATATAGAATAGAAACTAGTGTTTAATCAATAAATGAGTTGTAGTAGTTTGAAGTCAGTAACACATGTACTAATTTGTGTTTATTTGTTGCTTGGAAAAACTAATTATAGTATTGTTGCTTAAAAAAACTTAGTACAGAACTTCTGCAGTTCTTTATTAGATCGACGAAAAATGAAAAATGCTAGAAATACAAATTACTTAATTCGATCGCCTCCGACAAATAAGTGTGGGTGCGCGCGGATTGTCTTCAAGAGCGTGTTGATGGAATAGGGATTGGTTCAACCAAGAGTGAGACCAAATGTGTCTTGGTGTCACTATATGGTTCACCAAAACCATCACCAAACTGGTAAAAGCTGAAACCAATCCGAGCAAGATTCATGGAAGTTGTCTGAAAATTCTTTATGGGCTTATCCATAAATAGTATTTCTTTGTTCATCTTCTTCAACAGATCACCAATCAGATCTTTTTTGATGTACTCGCGTGCGTCCTCTTCAGAACAGCCTGTTTCGTGCATGTAACACTGTATATATTTCGGAACATCCCCTCGTTTTATTTCAGCCTGTAAATCAATTTTCATCAGACAAACCAAACCAAAAAAAATATAAATATGTATAATGTTGGTGATTAATTAGTCTTGATTAGTGGTTTATAAATTTTGGAAACTAACGTACAGATGAAGTGCCCAAGTCGTCTGAGAGGCGAAGAACAGTGGCAGGCCAACGAATAATTCCAGGGTATTGCTCTAAAAAGTGCAGCTCCTTGGTGTTAATGGGATTTGTTATGCAAAAGTAAGCATGGAAAAGAAGCACAGGGCCTGTAATCGAAAGCCAGGCTACGTTGATGTACTCGCTCGTGCTCGGGCGATACCCACTGTGGAACCATTGTGCTTCTTTATAGTAAGCTCTGCTCAATTCTGCCCACTGTACATAATCATTACATGCATGTAAGAGGATGATCAGAAGAAGGAGTGAAAAAAAAAAAACCCGAATTATTTGCATATATATACCATTTTTCTCAGTTTTGAGATGATGTTGAGACCTTGGTCCGTGAGAATTTTGTAAGCCAATTCATTAGCGCAGTTAAAAAGAGCTAGGAAGCTGATTCGCATGTATTCGGGTAGGCGGTCCAATGCGTTAACATCCCACCTGATTATGTAATAATCATATTAATTAATTAAAACTAGCTAGGATCTTGGTAATATATAAATATAATGTATAACCAATTAATTTACCTCTCGACCATCTCGGTGAAAATCTCGAGTTCATCCATGGTACCGTACACATCGTATATGTCATCCATAATTGTAATAATTACAGCAATCTTGGTCAGAATCTCCCTGGAAAACCCAAATCGAGGCTCGGGTGTAAATCCCACGGCCCATAAGTAACACTCCGGCAATCGGTGCCTGGCAAAACCCAAGTTGTCTGCAAGATTGGTTTCTTTATGCCACCTATAATATATATATATATATAATAACATAATTAAAATCCACATAATTTCTGCTAATTTAATTAAAAACGACGATAAACGAGTATTACCTCGACAGCTGTTTAATTTCGTCCTGATAAATGGCTTGCACCATGTTGAAGTCCAGTGCAGCCAACTGAAGTAGAATAGGGTCACCATTGTAGATGTTCATAAACCATCTTGCTTCGAGTTTTTGCACTCGCCAGTGCAGTGGAAGCTCCAATGCATGCCTCACTTTCTCAGCTAGAATCGCGTCTTCGATTTGCTTCACCTTTTCAGTTAGATGACGAGTCGAGAATTTTTTGGCAGAATCCAATATTCTCTCACCTTCGACCGATAAAAACGAAGCTTCATACAGAGACAAAACCCCCTTCACATCACCAGTAAAACACTCCTTAAAATTTCCTTCCTTGTCCAAGAAACTTCCGAAAACCTCTGTATAAAAAAAATAATTTAAAAAAAAAAATAAAAAAATATTGGTGTTATTAAATAAAAATATATATATATATATATATATAAATGCACCTTGAGGGACAAGAAATCCATTTTGTCTGAGAAGTCTAAATTTGAGAGATGTAACATGCAAGTGTTTGCCGTCGTCATCAAATTCGTCACGGTAAATGTTGCCCAAGATCTTTTTGATTGAATCCTCGAAGTGGTTGGATATATCGAACCTCTGCAGATTATCGATAAGTTCAAGTTGCTCTAGCGTATGATTTTCGGTTTCGTCGATGATTATCTGCACCTGTTTTTTCAGCTTCTCAGCTTGCTCTATGTATTTCTTCTCCTGCATTTCCAACAAACCATTGTTCAGACACTAAATTTACCTCTCACGTACGGTTCGAATAATTTTCTTTGTTATGATCTTATCCAAACATGGAACATGTTTTAATTTTTTTTCTGACCGTGTATGGAGTGGTGAAGGACTGAACGTAATCGTGCTCCCAAATGCTCGTTCCGTAGTTTCCAGATCTTCTTGCCTCTTCCATAGTAATTATCTGCAATCGATCGAACACAACAGTAATGAATATTTTATTATCTTGTTAATTAGTGTGTAATAATTTTGCTCCTTTTTTTTTCATATCTGTGATACACGATATCTAAGGTATCATAAAATTTCTTTACGAAACGTACGAAAACTCAAAATAAATATTATTCTGCATAATATAAAAACCTTTTTGCGAATCTTTAAATGATCAACATTAAAAGACACTAAGAGTGATATTCGAAAGAATACCTTTTCGGCGCTTAAATCGATTATGAACTGTTTTTTTTTTCTTTTTTTTTTTTTTTTTTTGTAAGAAGAAATGAAATATGAGTGTTGATATGTAGAAAGGTAGCAAGGTATTTATAGTCGAAGATTGAGACCAGTGTCAGGTGAATATTTATGGAATTGCCATTTGTCTCTATTGGTACAAGTTGTTGCACTGTTAAGAATTGTGTAATATAAGACAAGAGGGTTATTTTGTTTTATAAATAATTATGCCACTTATGAAACACGTTGATTATATAATACTAGAAAAACAATCATTCACATCTCCAAATGAGATCATAATCAATTACAAAAATTGTAAAAATAGATATTGAAATTAGATAAATGTTATAATTTAAAAATATATATATATGAAATTTTCAACAAATTATTCTCTCGATTATGTAAATTCGACGACATATTCCACAAAAAATATTGGTAAAATTTTATATATGATATTTTCAGAGTATTAGATCCTAGATCTGGTGAAATACACTGTATGTATGTATTTGTACAATTGATCTAGGCATATATGTTGGAGATATTAATACTAAATGATATATTTCACTAATAGCTTAAGCTTTTGGTTGAGATGGTCATTCAACATGGTATCAGAGTCAGGCCAAATGAAAGGTCCTGAGTTCGAATCCCACCGCCACCCAATTCAAATATTTCAAGTGCAAGGCTTCAAATGTAATTCGCCTGCACTTGAGGGGGCGTGTTGGAGATATTAATACTAAATGATACATTTCACTAACAGCTTAAGTTTTTGGTTGAGATGGTCATTCAACAATATATATATGATGCAAAACCACCGAATAAATTATTTATATGCTATACCCGGTGAGGGTTACATTGGGTGTAATGGGGGAAAAGCGATTGTACTAATTTAGTGATATTCTATATTTTTTACTATAATACATAATATTTATTCGTTTTCTTATTCGACAACTCAAGACGATATATTGGACGGAGGAAGAGAAGGACAAGGTACTTAGCTTGTCGGTAAGAATTAAGATGCCCGCATGGGTGTAGCTCAACTGGTTACGAATGTGGTAAGTTGGTGCAAGGTCCTAGAATCGAATCCTGGCAGCCGCAGTGTGGGAATTTCAACTCCAATGAGGGTTGGTTCCTTGTGGGCACCAGGTTCGGGTCCGCTACCTTAACGGGCAGTTGAGTTACCATGATTGATTTCACCTTTTGGTGCAAGAATTAAGATGGCTTTGAAGTTTTTTTGGTGCAAGAATTAAGATGGCTTTGAAGTTTATTTGACAGCTTTTTATCATGTGTTAAACAATTATATAGTTGCATTTTTTCTTACTTCCCTTTTACGGTTTCAAAACCGACCAGGCAAAATCGACAATTCAGAAAATATCAAGCAAAAAAACAAAAAATGACATAATTTCTGAGAACATGAGTGGTAACTATGTTTCTCACGATTTGATTTGTCTTTATGTTATTGATAACGTGTCACACTTGTAACAAATTCTCTAATATGTGAACTGAAATTAGTGGGGGCTTTCTTGTAATTTTATCCCTACTCCTTTTTCTTTTCTCTGAACAAATGTTACATATGGGGACAAATGATTTTCTTGTGCTGGTCTCGTCCATCTCGATTAAGAAGAGAAAGCATGAAGATTTTAATCTTTTTTGAACCCACTATATGTTGCTCTTAATCGATTTATAAATTGTTTCTCACGTTAACTAACACTATGGAGGAAAAGCAGTACTCTTCTTTCTCAACAGCCTATTCCACTCCGTCGGTGTGTGGAAGAAGAAGAAGAGGAACATGTTGTTAAAAAGAAGAGGAAGCACTCGTCGTCTAAGGAGGAGAATCAACGAAAATCTAATATAAATCAATTATAATGTTTGTATATTTTTTGTTTTTTTTTAAACATAGTTGATTTTGCATTTTTTGCAGTTGTGATTTGTTATTTTTTTTAGCAGATTCTTAATCGACTATACATCATCATAGGCGATTAATATACCAGATATAGAAAAAAAAAATGAAAAACAAAAGAAATATATATATATATATATATATATATATATATATATATATATATATATATATATATATATATATATATATATATATATATATATATTGACAGGCGCTAAC